ATTAACTGCATCAAAAAGCAATCAAAAATATTCTAGTTTTTAATCTAATAAAAGTTCGGTAGATGCCTTATAAAGAGTGGAAAAGTCGATGATCGAATCATACATTTTGGTGATATAGAACTTTGAAACATTAAGTAATTTAAATGTACTTTACGTCTTTCTTTTTTTATTATGGAGTTTTTCAGGATCCATTTCCTAACTTTTCGAATACACAGTAGCTCACTATGTTTAAAACATGGACATGGTAGAGCCTTTGCTGAATCCGACAATATGTCATTTTTGTAAGGAATTTTATGAGGATGAGAAATCCAGTATAGATAAGGTAAGTAGACCTCATGTGGTCGATGCAACGGTAGGAAAGATCATAACCTAGTTGAACAAGAAAGCATTGATGCAACCACCAATTGTCGCCGAGGAAATAAATAAAGTAAACAATGGAAATGAGTCTTGATCATCAATGTGTTAAAAGGGCATGCGTCTAAATGATAGAGAAGATAGTCGAGAATATTTTGAAAACTTATAGTCGAATGAAAATCGAACAAAAACGATACCCTTTTTAAACTTTATCAAATCCTCAAGTAAATGTTGTCTGCAGAAAATATAAATTTAAACCAGACACATGCATCAAATATAATCAAAAATGCATCAAAAATTAAATTTATTTCACTTTAAGAATACAAAACACGAGCTGTTTAGAGTACGTTTTTATGCGACAAGTAAAATTCGATGTTCTAAAAAGGGGGGCTGTCGCTATTTCGATAGTAAATGATAAGCAACTTTATATATTAAATATGAAAAACATATTTATTTTTACAGATTCACTTTACGAATGTATATATATTATGAATCTCCTAATTTATAAAGGGAAAGAACATTCTGATTAACAATCTTTTTCATGTTTAGAAAACCCTTAATTCTGAATAACTTCTCCCACCTCAATTTCCATACACCAACACTTAAACTTATATATAGAGAGCAGCCCGGTCCTCCGGGCTGCAGTAATTACATGTTTTTTAATACATTTTTTTAAATGATTTAAGCTCCAAGTTTTCGATTTTCTTGTACAAACGTTCCTTACAAGATCTAACAGATACGTTGAACAACTATTAATTGCAAAAGGAAACCATTATAAACGTCTATGACGTATTTTTAGCTAACCTGAGCGTTTATGATCAAACTTTGGGCCCATAAATGTGTCCGTTGTCTATGTTTGTTGCCGTCATTGTCGTTGGAACTTTTTCACAATATTTTATATTCTTCTCCAGAACTGCGTACTAAGTCAATTTTAATCAAACTTGCCACAGAGTATCCTTGAGTGAGAGGAATTCCAGTTTCCTCAAATAAAAGGTCACACCCTCCTCATGTGCGGATAATTAAGAAATAGCAAAAATTCAATGGCATCATTGAAAATCTTCTTCTCAAGAATAAATGGGTAAGGAAAGATGAAACTTATATGGAATCCTTATCACGTACATGTACATGTAGTGTAGATTCAAGTAGGTACAACATTATTATAGGAATAATATATAGAAAAATATCCATAAAGATCTCCTTTCCAATAATAACAAAGCTATTATTGGTCATATCTGTGTGAAACCATTACCAGTTGGTGTAGATTCAAGATTCTGCAAATCATGAAACCAGGCGTACAGTGGGGCCACAATGGATGATCAAAGTTTTAAAAGGGGTTTATAACAATTTTTTTTTATCAAGAACAGCAAAGATTCGATCGATCATATTTATGTGAAAGTATCCTCGGATGGTGTAGATTCACTTTTGCTCAAAATAATGACCACCTGTCTAGGCTGGGGCAACAATAAAATCTCAATGTAGGCAAAAACATGTACATATAAGCATTATTATTACTTGTAACAATAGATTCAACATTTATAGTCAAAATATTCCCCCTACCTCTTACTGGTACAAGATGTAGGTCGGGACGACCAAGATGCATCGAAGCTTTTGAATACTAAACTGATGTATTCTTTTTCCTGACCATAGTGCTCTGGTGAGCGATCTGGCCCCTAAGCCTCCTTTTATAAATTTATCATTCACAATGTTAAAAATACCTATTTTTTAGGATTTGAATTTTTTAGATGTAAATACAGGTTAACATTATCACTCAGATCTAATTTACACATTATATAATAGACTTACCATATCCGTATATTGATAATAGTTTGAAGAGGAACAACACGATAAGATACCCCATTTCCAAAACAGTCAACGCCCTTAACAACAAGGAAGTAAACTACTATCAAGGACTTATCTCTCCGCGCATTTGATAAGATATGCATGTACATGTAAGGCATATGTTCAGAAGGAGAAGGAAATTTATAAAAAAATTATTTGTTTAACTTTATGTAAACGTTTGTCTGCCAATAAAAAAAAATAACACAGTAATTGTATTTAATAAGAATATATATTTTGAAGCATTAGAAATGTATATCGTTTTAATCAAAATTGTAAAAAAGAAAAAAAAGAAAAGGGATTATACACGGTTTTACATAGCTAACTATTAATCTGTACTGCATTGCTAATTGTTACCATGAATACATTCTCCTTAAAAATTCTGGTGTTTGAACATGCTCTTTAAAATAAAAAGACAAATCCTGCTGGTCGATTTTTTTCTTTTTTTTTTTATCTGAATAATACACAATCTTTTTAAATTAAGTTGTATTCTTAACAAAACAAAAGCAATTTACATATAGGGAAAAGACAGTGTTACATGTACAGATGTAAGCGTTTTCAATGTACTTTATTTGATTCATGTCAGAAAATGTTATTTTCTGTCTGTGTACCCCTAAGTACAGTCTTTTGATCATAAACCTTATAATTTATTTGACACTTAATTGTTACATAATTAGTTAAGATAGAACCTTCAGGTAGAAACGTCTTTGTCACAAGATTTTCAAAGTTTTCAAAAAGATAAAATAGCACTCGCTTATTAAGCAGATAAAATCACATGACATGCACCCTTCTAGTGGGACTACATTGGAAGAGTGATTAATGCTGCGACTACACATTTCAGTTAATTTGGGGACTTGTCATGATGTGAACGTGAAAAAGCACAAAAATTCCTCTTTAAACATCGTGGTTTACGGACTTTATACAACTAAGAAGTATACATGTACAGTTATATAATTGATGTCAATTTCAATAGTCTCTGTCCACTGACTTCAGATACAAAGACGCGCGATAATTGCAAATATTTGTCAGTTCTTGCCCCTTACTGTACTATAGGTGGCGCACGACACGCTAAGGTTCATATTTACTTCCGGTTTCGATTCGATTTCGCTTAGTCACTAAACTATTTTGAAAGTTCGTCAAAATAAACATCCAATGCCTACTTGCTGTTGCGTGCCTGGTTGCTCCACGAGAGGAGGATTAAGTTTCCCAAAGGACGAGAAGATAAAAAAGCTGTGGATTCGAGCCATTCGAAGAAACGATGACGATATTACGTATAAATATTGGACGCCACAGCCATTCAGTGTTGTGTGCCACAAACACTTCCGTGAGGAAGATTTTACCTGCGAAACACAGCACGGTTAGTAAGATTATATGACTTCATTTCTAGTTGCATTTAAATATTTTATCAATTAATAATAATTTGTCTGTAAATCATAACAGCTGTGAAATAATAACGCGACGGACACACAACTTCACAAGAGAATTTTGAAACGTGTATAACAAAATCAAATAGTTTTAAATATACAGCGAAAGTGAAAGACTTCATTAATTTTTTCCCTTAAATGACAAGCCATACTGAGAAATTGGGCAGAAAGATAATTTAATGCTTTTATCAGTTTATATCATATGCAGACCTTATCAAAGCATATTGATGATATTGACAACAATATTTTATTTACTTTTATTACACATGTTCATAGTTGATACTGAAACGAATCGCTGAAACAGCTGATATGACAAAGAATTTAATTTTTTTTCATTTTCTCATTTGCATGATGTGTTACTTATTATCTCCATTTATTTTTTCATGTTGACAAGTGCTTTTCTTTTCCATTCCCAGCGCAGTATCTGGATATTAAACGGTTTGATATTATCAAAATATGCGATGGAGTGGTCAAACTTGTGAAATATATATTGAAAAATACCAAGTTTGCTATTTCATGGCTATTTTGTTATGTCATAATTCATCAAGATGTTTCAAGGAATTAGAGTCATTCTACAGTCATGCTCTCTTGGAAGCTCCTGATGAGTGGATGAGGAAGACACCATTGGACACGATAAGCATTACAATACATATATCTTTAATATTAGTTTTTATCTGATTGAATTGAAATATTTTAACATCTCTGAAATATCTGAAATCTGAAATATCATGTCTTTTTCCTCCGAAACATTTTTATTATTAAGGTCACAATAATTTTTTTTTTATAATTTGATAGGCACTGAGCCACTAAGGAGGCAAAGAAAACCTGAGGCAGTCCCCTCCATTTTCCCCTGGACCAAGTCGCCATCTATTAATTTTGATGAGAGGAGCAAAAGAGTAGTGGCCCGCCGTGCCAAAATGGAGAAAGGCGACCATGAAAATTCAGAAATGGTTTCAGATGATTGCAATGTTTATGAAGTGGGCAACAGTGTAGAAGTGGAGGATGAAAAGTTTTGCCCTAGTGATATTAATAATATTGATATAAGTGCTACTGTTGCACCTCTTTTTATAGATTCGTCAAGTCAAACAGCAAAATTGCCAATCATGTGTATTGAAAATTTCATGTATGATGATGAAGGCATCACGTTTTATACAGGGTTGAGTTCCTACACAGACTTTTTACATGTACTCACTACTGTATAATCTTGGTGAAGCAGCCTTTCATCTCAATTATATTTATAATCAGGTTCAAAATATGTCCATTGAAAATCAGCTCTTTTTGACACTGATTAAGTTGAGGCAACATAAGCCCAATTTTGAATTAAGTAGATTATTTTCAATATCACAAACAACTGTTGAGAATATTTGGATTACTTGGGTGAACTTTATGTCGAGACAGTGGAGGGAACTGAATTTCTGGCCGGAAAAAGATCTGGTCACCTTTTTCTCTCCATCTGATTTTTACAGTAAATTCCCCTCTACACGAGTACTAATTGATGGAACAGAAATTCCTGTAAAGAAACCTAAACCCCCCATTGCCCAGCAAGCAACCTTCTCTACGTATAAAAATAGAAATACTGTCAAAGTACTCGTAGGCTCAACTCCAGGGGGTTTAATTTCATATGTGTCACCTGCTTATGGAGGGTCTGCTAGTGACAGACAGCTTGTTGAACGGAGTCCTTTGTTAAGTGCTGACTTATTTGAACCTGGCGATTCTCTTATGGCAGACAAGGGATTCAATGTACAAGATTTATTTGCTCCCAAAGACGTAACCGTAAACATTCCATCATTTTTTAAACAAAAAAACAGAATGTCTGGAAAGACAGTTTTGCGTGATCGCAAAATCTCTAGCAAAAGAGTTCATATTGAGCGGCTGATAGGGTTAGGAAAGACATACAAAATTCTGAAAACACCCTTAAATACAACCGAGACAAAATTGGCCAGTGAAATTTTATTTGTATGTTTCACACTGTGTAATTTCAAAAAATGCATTGTTCCCAAACATGCATAATGTTGTGTTCAATGAAAATGAATAAGCTGATTGGTTCACAGAGTCATACCAAACTATTGAATATATTAGAACATTTTTATTGGGAAGTTTTGACAATTTGTTAATAAAATTTTATACGGACTGGTTGAAAAAAAAAATTCACATGCCTATGTAATGAACTTCTTTACTGATAACAAGGTGGTGAAAATTAATTTACATTTTGTGCATTATTCTTACATAATACCCTAATATAACCCATAAACTTGGAGATGTCAGTTTATTTATTGATTTAAAAATTCTCAATTAGTTGCAAGTATCTGTATAGCTAAAGTCTTAAAGCTAGTTACATAAGCATATGAATAGATCTACATGTATTGAGGTACATGTACAATGAACACATAGAGTATAGGTATCAATGTATGAACATGTAACCAATGTAAATTTCTATGTACAACATAAAAAATGCTTATGTGTGGCAGTGCCTGAAGGTCCATTCATGTCATAGTTAACAACTTCAAAAATTAGTTCATTTTGTTGTCATGGTAATAAAAGTTCTTAAGAACAGCAGTCTTGAAGTATGTGTCAAAAAATGAAATTAATTTCTGCAACATTCTCTCAATGAATGTTTGGTCTCTTTGAATTGAGATAACTTTCAGATCTTTCAATGTGTAAACAACTAAATAACAGCATGTTCTGTTTGAACAGAAGAGTTGCCCTTGAATTTGATAGAAGTAGTCATGAGTATTGTCTAGCTCTAAACATCCATCAACATTTTGTAAATAGGAGACAGTTTCCTCTGATATTTTGCTGTATTTTGCATTGTAGGGGCATTTAACTTCAATAAGTGTACTTTGGTCCAAGATGGCATCAGGTGAAGAAGCAATAAAAGGATGCAACTTTGAAACAAATATTCCACATTTTGAGGTTTTAACATTAAATTTTTCCTCAAACTTTTTTATCGCCACTGACTCATAACACCTACCATGCAAAATAGCTGGTACACGAATTTCAGGCACATGCTTAGTTAAATTTTCAGCCAGTTTTGAAAAATCAGTTTTATCAGTAGCCTTGCAAACTCGACCAAAGTTGGATGAGTGAATTCTCTTTCGTCTTTCATTACGCCAGATGGTGCTTTTGCTTTGTCCCCGTGTTTGCTCTTCTAACTTGACAATATCTTCATCTGAAATTTTTGTTATATTCATGTTTTGTAACCATATGTATGACAAAGGATGACTGAAATAGTCATGATCTTTTTCTAACCCAATGGTGTTTGCTAGTGGGAAGATTTGTGAGACAGCCAAATCACTAATGTTAGGATGATTTACCCAGACATTTCTGAAGGTATCAGGGTATCCAGGCATATTCCGATATGCCCTGGGTCGTGGATCGTAACTGACATCCACTTCACCTGCTAAAGGCAAGTCATTTGCTTTAATTGGACTGCCTTTGTATACTTTAGTGTGATGGAAAGTTTGTAGGTTCTGCGTACATGTCTCCTCTGTGACAATGTCTAGACTTTTACTGAACATTTGTAAACCGAACAATACCACACACACATGCTTACACGCAGCAGTTGGGCCCATACCCGCAGCACACTCACACTGACTTTCAACAATACACCCATCCATATCAACACATACATCCACTTTATATGACACACTCTTCTTCATCTGTGCCTTGCATTCTGCCTTGATGTAGTAAAAGTTGTTTTCAGCACAGAGTCTCACATACTTCAGAAACTTGCTCTCATATATGTACATCACATTGCTTTCAACACTTTTGTTCATTCTTTCTAGGTATGCTTTCACTGCCTCTTCTCTCACTTCCACTATCTGTGTATCTTTGTTAATATCTTTAAACTTTTCATAACAAGGAACTTGCATACAATATTCTCTCTCTACTCTTTCTGTAGCACCAAAATTTGCATTCCTGTCATATGCTTGAAGTCTGAAATATGTTGAAGGGGAACACTTGTGAATGTATGTATAGATATAACTTACAATTAAAAAACTAAACTGTTACATATTTTTATATGTACTGCAATCAGAGACATATTTTATTTGTTATACCTTTAAAAATTTGTTCCTATACAAATCTATACGAAAAAAAGTCTAACATTTTTAATGTTTTGCTGAGTGGGCATAAAAAATTGATGTTGGACCGCTGAGTGAGATGTTGGACCGCTCGGAGAGATGTTGGACCGCTTATGTCACAGAATGGGCGGAGCTTAATCTCATTTTCATTCGTTGGTATTAAACAGTGACAGACCTGATGTTACATCACTGAATATAATACAAAATACATGTATGTCAAAAAAATGAAATGAAAGGTATAACAAAACATTTATTGACAGAGTCCTCGGGCAAAATACGTTTTGTCGATCCTCGAACCAAACTGTCTGCCTTCGGCCTAACGGCCTCAGGCAGACAGTTTGGTCCTTAGGTCCGACAAAACGCATGTTGCCCTCGAACTCATTCAATAAATGTATAATGTCTCTGACTGCAATAGTTACATGTATATGGTTTAAACAGAGGTTTCTCATCCATGATTCTTTCTCTCACTCTCTCTCTCTCAGGCCTAATTTTTTTTTACTTTGGGGCCTATACTAGGTGATAGGCAGTGCAGTCAGGTAACAGTAAATTTATAAAAAGTTTTAAACGTCAAGCGCCTGTAAGCTAAGCCTACATAATTCTAAGAATGGTCTTTTTCGTTCTGTACAACATATGTAACTTAAATGCATCATGTTACTAACATTTACCAGTTATACAGTGCAGGCCTATTATGTTACAAATATTGTAATGTATATAACTAAAAAGTCCACTCTTAATTGAATTATTTATGTAAGCGAAGCCAAAGGCTCTTTAGGTTTTAAACTTTTTATCTGCATTGATAAAATTCAACTATAAAGGTTTAAAACGTAAAGAGCCTTTGGCTTCGCCTAATAGAGATTGACAATGACATGCGTCAAAAACTGACTCAGACTGACATTGAAATAAAAATGTAGACAGTATAAATTGTAATTAATCTCGCAAAAGTCTACATGAAATATGCTTTTGAAGAACTTTTATTGAAATTATAAAGAATATCAGGTACCGATAACGTCTTAATCACGGTACTGTGTTCGACAGAGAAAATTATGGTTAAGAAGATGCCCGCAAGTATTACCTTTCAACCAATTCTCTTTTGCGGCCGGAAATGCGAGCATTTCGTTTCCGTAGCTCTTTTCTAAGTGTGGGTAAATCCCACGATCCGTAATCAGCCATTATATCTACAAAACCTAATCAAAATAGCAAGATATTACAAGGTCGAAATTACGTCGACACTCTCTAAAATTGAAGGTACGAATAGTCATGAACTTAAACGTGTCATGCGCCACCTATAATTCAGGGACGATAATGTGCAGTTTTATTTGCAATTACAAGCCTATTTAGGCTTCCGTAGGACCTGATCTTTCGCCAAATTCAGTACACCCATTGTGTGACAAGCTTATGTGCTTACAAAATGTATAATATAATATTACGCAAAAGATAGAATCGAAATTGAATAATTCCGATGAAAACTTTGATAAATAGATATTTTATGCTCTTCATGCATTGCTTAGCTTTAAAATTAATAAGTTCTTGGGAAAGTCATAGGAAACCAGGAAATGATAAACGGTATTGTATTTTGAATGCATTTCCGTCAATTCAAGTGATAGGAATATCCGTAACAGGACGTTTAATTTGCATGATCAATTATTTAATTTAAAAAATGAACGAAAGCAAGCTTTTAACTTTCCTTGTTTTTACTTTGTGAAGTCTATTTAAAAAAGTTCTTTTAGTATGGATTGTTTTGTTTAAAGATTTACAAAATATTATGTATGAAATCAAGTCTAACATGTTTCACCTTATATGATTTACACATATGATAAATTACTTTAAGATATTGTGTCATATATTAGAATGGTCGAAGTTTCAGGTTTCTCGATAGATAATAAACTTATTAAATATATACTGAAAGGAAAAAGAAACACTTAATAAAATTTTGACTAATATTAAAACTTTTATTTCCAATATGTTTACCAGTATTGTTATCAAACATTTTAATTCAACTTTAAAAACAAGTCACCGAAATCTTGTGTGACTTTGACTGATAATTCCTGAGTTATTGAAATTAATATGTCAATACCCCCCAAAATTAAAATGAACATTCTCCTAATCTCCCTTGAGCATCAGTAACAGCCTTTATTTTCTTGTGCATTGAGTTTACCAGAGCATTTATCTTTCTCATAGGATTATTATTCAAGCCATCTGACGGTAGTCTTAATGGATGAGAGTAGCTGTATTATTCCAAAGCCAACAAATCACCCGCCCAATGAATCCCACGACTTGTCGATTTAGGATAGAATTTACAGAATGTAGCTGATTTGGTACACGTTAATGTTTGTAAGGAAGTCTCGACAAACACTGGCTACATTTGCTCAGGATGAACATGCTAAAAACATTACGCATATGGCGCGTACGTGCGCGTGTGAGAGTAAAATCGAAGTAAAGTTGCCAAGCTTGCGTACCAAATTAGAACAGAGAGTTTCTGTCAGTATTAAGGTGAAAATATGAGTATGATTCTCTGCTGTAAAAATATCAGTTTCAGTGATAATGACTTGACAATAACCGAGGTAGCATGATGAAAAGCCCTATCTTGATGTGACGTTGTTACGCGCCAACGTCACCATCATGGTTGGTTGGAAACCTTTTAAGTTACTCTCTGACAACCGGAAAAACTTTTTTGGTTGAAAAGTTAAAAACAAACTGCACAGCATTATGTTGTTGCCTTTTTATTCACTTATGCAACTCAATTTCTAGACCCAATGTAACTTCCGTCAGCCATACCATGATTGCAAGAAATTTATACTGACTGCCAATATCGGGAAACGATGTATATAACTCTAATGCTCTCTTGGCACTAAAAGAATGTGATCATAAAATTGTCATTATCAAAATGCACGTGTATTTGGCTTTTTATTTCTTCCCCTACGTGACGCC